CTTTTGGATGAGGACCATGTGCAATGTGTGCTACTGTTTTTGTTGGACTATACCAGATTTTAGCCATAATGATTTACCAACGTGGAACTTCACCAAAGGTCAAGGGTTCAAACCTCACCAGAGGTGAGGAGGGGGTGTGAGTTTATGTGTTCTATTTGCTGTATATAAATATTATATACTTCAAAAAAACGTGGAACTTCAACCATTATTTTCTTGTTGCAATGATCTATCCTAGCTCCAATATTTTGCTCCCCTTTACATATTAGACCAAACAAGATTCAACCTCCAAATGGAATCAGTTATCAGCATGTGCCAGCATGTTGCTCTAAGTAAAGGTTGAAAAACCACAAGATTCACTTTGTAGAAGAATGACGATTGAATCATTAAGTCACCAGATATATAGCGACTGAGCATTAGTCATAACTCAAAGTAACATCTCTAGGTGTGAGGATGTAGTCACTCAAACTTTTGTTCACCTCCATGTTTATCTTCGAATTTGCCACTCATCCTTTTGTTGCAATGTGGATTTTAAAATTGTAAAAGTGATCTAACTACTTGGAAAGAGTGTTGTTATAGGTTTAAATACATTTTTGGAGGGGTGTTTAGGCATGATGTGATGCTAGTGGAATATGTGGCTGTATACTACCTGGGTCCTAAAATTACGGAGAGGAATTGCCATTTGACTAAAAACTAGTATCAAAGCTTTTGATTGGATCATAGGATGAATTGCCTCATCTTGTGGTGTTAAATCATATGATGCATCATAAGTATTGAATTAGTGGGTCATCAAATTTATTGTTTTATGGTTAACATGAACTAGAATAAAAGAAAGGAATTGTTAGAAGTAAACCAAGATTAGAACACCAATTATTCGAATATGTTCCTTCATGTCAAATCTCTTTTGTTTGCATCAATCACTTCCTAGGTTGCACCCGATCTTGGAGCGACTAATGTGCAATCCTTGTGTTTCCAAGAGGTAGAAGTTAACATTGGGAACCAAATAATACATCAAAAGGACAAATTCAAGTATCTAGGATTCATGTTTCAGAAAGGAGAGGTTGATGATGAATGATGATGTAATGCATCACATGGAGATCTAGTCGTTGAAGTGGAGAGCTGCAACGGGAGCGGTATGTGATTCTTGTCCCACTAAACTGAAAGTGAAATTCTACAAGGTAGCCATAAGACCAAGTATGTTTTATCAGTCGGAGTGTTAGGCAATGAGGAAGGTGCATGGGATAAAGTTAAAAGTTGTACAAATGCAGATGCCAAACGAGGCCTTTCGGGCGAAGTTGGGAGTTGGGTAATCATCGATAAACTGAGACAGGGAAGGCTACGATGGTGTGGGCATGTACACATGAGGTATCTTACGACATTTGAGAAGGATAGAGAGTATGACGATCGAGGGGTGAAAATGAGGGGCAGACCAAGGAGGATGTGGGATGAGCAGTCGAGGATGGACATGGCAATCCTAAACATTTTCAAGGACATGAGATCTGAATCTGAAAGGAGCTCTTGGAGACGCATGAATAGGGTATCAAACCATGAGTACGGATTCATAGCATGGACAGGAATAAGGGAATTTGGAATAGTTGGAGTGTGAGACATGGATAGGGGTGGTGGCAGTTAGGATACCTGGGTCTTACGTTCAATAGAGGGTTTGTCTTTGTTTTTCTCACCTTTTATGTATATTGTTGTTTCTATTTGTGTGATCTGTTTGCTTTACACTAGTCTTGGATTTTCTTCTTGTAATTGTAGTTGTTTGTACCACACTTTGTGTTTTCTAGTTCCTTGTATGTGTAACCTAGTTTCCTTAAATCCGTCCCTGATGCTGCTCTTTTTTATGTACCCATTGGCCATTGCTTTTGTTTGCACGCACTCTTGTTTGTATCATTCATTTTTTTTTGCAAGCCGGGGGGTTTCACCTAATCAACCTCTCTACTTCTTGCGATAGAGGCAAGTCTACGTACATCCTACCCAGGCCTTACTTTTGCATGAGATCCTATGTTGTTACTGCGGTCAGAATACAAAATATCGGTCAGGACCGATATTCGATATATCCTGTGATATATTGGTCCAAAATAGCGGTTAATATAATATTTCTTAGAATTATATATATATATATATATTATGTATCTATCTATAAACATATCATATGATATGCATTAATTAGAGTTTAGAAATATAGTTTCAAAATTAAAACATCACATCATCTAAAGTGTTCAAAAACGAGCTAATCGCAAGCAATAGGTTCGGCATCCGAGTCAACATCATCCAATACATTCACTTCTTCGTTTAGGTTAGCTTTCCAATCTTCCTCTTCTTCCCCTTCATCTCCAACATGATGATGATCATCATCATCTCTATAGTGCTACCTTTTACTTCTTGTACTTGGTCCAACTTCTTCTTTACCTCCCATTGCTTCTCGTACATCCGACCAAAGGAGGCCATCTCTTGCATCCACAAAATATCGGGAAATATCGGTAAATATCGGCGATATTATCGGGACCGATATTTCACCAGCGATTTTTTACCCAGGTCCAATATCCGATATATCGACGATATATCGCGATTTTAACAACATAGATGAGATCTACTCTGTCCATTTGGTTTGTTCTGGTTTAATTCCTGGGTTGAAAATAACTTATGATTGATGCTTGGTATTCTAATACTGTGATATTCTCTTTACGTCTTTGGGGTTAGGAATCAGCCAAAAGTTAACCCATTCTTGTGTGTGAATGAAGGAGGTACTAACAACACAAAAGAAGTGAAGAAATGTGGAGTGCAAATGTAGGGGGGGGGGGGAGGTTGGTGTTTTAACTTTAAATAATGCATGTGTACTTGCTGATAGGTTTTATTACCCATAATTGAAACCCTTTCATTATTTTCTTTAAGAAAGGAGCATCTCTCGACAATGGTGTTCTTGTATTTCTTACATTCGTCCTCAAGACTTAAACACTATGGGTATTCTTTGTGTTACTATAGTTAGGTTTCGTTCCACTAGGAACAATAGAGATTGAGATGGGATAAGGTTATGATCTCATCTAACTCTCTCTTTTCTTGCTCTTGTACTTGTCCTTGGTTCAAGGTGCTGATGAGGAGTATCAATCCTTCTGATCTCTTTTTTAGGAGAATCTGTCTCAAGATTCATAGGTGAATTTTGAACATCTTTTGAGAATTATCTTCGAAGAGTTCCACATTCTCAGGCTCAATAATGGTATTATACTTTAAATCAAGGAATCTCTATGCTTTGCTAGTGTTGTCTTATTCCACAAACACACTTCTAATAGTCCCCAACTCCAATTTTTGTTCTTTTCAAGTCAGGTACTCTAAAGTAGGCCACACATTCCAATCCTTTAGATGATTATATTGGATTTTCTTCTTTTCAGTAGTTCATAGGGGCTATCAGCAGTTTTGCTGTACTAGGAATCCAATTATGAAAATGGAATGCAGTGGAGATAGCTGCTTCTCATAAGCTATGTGGGAGGCCTGAATGATTAATCATACATTTAACCTTTTCTAACATAAGTATGAATTTTCTCTTTAGCATAACCATTTTGTTGTTGGAGTATAAGAAGCAGTTCGCACCATTTTTTACTCTCACAAAAGGTATCAAAATCGTTTAAGAAATATTTCCCACCTGTGTCAAAGTAAAAAATCTTGATCTTCATTTGAAGTTGGTATTCAAACTTTGACTTGTATTTGTTAAATGAGTCAAAAGCTTCATCTTTTGATCTTAATAAATAAACATAGAGATATATGTTTATTACTTTCCCCTCATAGTCAGTATTTCATGAACTTCCCAGTTATCCAAGTGTACAAGTTCAAGTAGCTTATTGGTTCTTTTTTTTTTCTTTGCAAAAAATTTCTTTGCTAATTTTGATTTAACACAAGTTTCACATTTTTCAAATCTTTGTTGCCAATGTCAATTTTTTCTTCTGCTTGTAGGTTTTCAGTATTCTTAACATTAGTGTGTGCCAAACGACTGTGATAGAGAAATTGATCATGTAATGCTAGCAATAGATTATTATCATTAGTACAATCAAGGGCAGGTGTATCAGAGCCCACACTGGAACCACTAGCACTACTAGAATCACTTGACACATCAACAATTTCTGGCACATCCTCACATTCCACATTGAATGTCACCCTTTCTCGCAAACACCCCGTTTTAACCCTGCATGACAACGTTGACCTTTTAGGCTTAGTTTGTTAACAGAGATCAACGCTTTCTTATGGTCTTGAGCTTCAGAAGTTTTCTGAAGGTAATTTGATTCGTACCGTACCTTCACCAACCATAGTCGTGCTGGAGCTTTTTCTCTTAACTACATCATGTGCTTTTATGGGTTTATATTCATCAACATTTGAACAGTTGTCACATATACATGAACTGTCTGTTTCTAAATCAAGAAGTCATTCCCGAAGAACACTCACTAGATTGACTTTGGAAACTATGGAGAGATCATCAAGGTACACATTTGCAGCCATCTCTATGAGTTCGTCATCAACCACATTGACCGTGGAACTCTTTGATCCTCGTTTCTCTAACATAGTGTCTTGTTCTTCACAAGCCTGATGCTTAATGGCTTGTTTAGGTAGATTATTAGGTTTACCTGGGTTCTTTAAGCTGCTTGGTTTCTTTTACTTTTACTGTTGGTTTACGAGGTGTATGTTTACGTCACTTTTGTTTGAATAAGCCATTAACAAAATGATGCAGACTAGAGTGTCCATGGATCATTCTTGTCTTCTTGCTGTCTAGCCTCTTCCTCAGTTAGAAGATGCTTTTTGCATCTGATCCGATGTATAGGCCCCGGATTTGAATTTGTAAAAAGATGTTTTTTTCTCAATTGATTTCTTGCTCGTGCCTTACTTTTGGGATTTGAATTTGAACTCAAGAGCTTGCTATAGCCTATAGTTTAGTTCATCCACTGAACTAGGGAACTTTGGAACGAAGAAACCTTTTCCAAGCATAACAAGACATCGAGTACGTTACTTTGCAGGCTGAGCTGGAATCTTACGTTGAAGAGCCATCAATGGTTCCAAGAACTTTACAACATAATCAGCAGCATACGCAAGCCACAAACCCGTTTACAAATTCTGGGTCGTCTAGTGTTCCAAGTGCTGTACAAGGGTTCCGGTCTGAGCAGAGTGATCAGCAACCAAAGAACTACATCTTCTCAAATGCTTTGTCAAGCCCAGTTCGACGCAGCCTTCAAAACTATCATATATCTCAGGAAGGATATGGAACGAAGAATAACGAACATCAGAATCGAGATTTCAACGCCTTTGATTCATCTTCAATGGACATGCACGCAGATAGCACAGGTCATGATTCTACTCATTGAGATATTTGTGGTGAAAATGTTTGTGATGTGCTTATGCTCTGTGGTTGTGACGGTGGTGTTGATGAAATGAGCACAAATTGAAGGGGTTGTTGCAGAACTGAAGTAGTGATGAAGATTGGAATTTAAAGAAGTAGAGGTGGTAGTATTTAATTATATGGGACAATGGCAACAACTACATATATTGTTATTTCTCATAGAATCATGCTATTTGTGTGGATCTTTTTATCTTTATGTAAAGTGGTTTGTTTTCCTTTGTATTGAACCATGAAATATTTGATTTCTGATTGTTTCATCTTTTGTCTCTTTTGCTCAATTATTAGAAATAAGAATTCATAATCTATAATATCTTATAAACCAGATTTATCAAAAGTCTTAAAAATAAATTTTAATGTACAAATTACTATACATTTATGCACAAAGTCTTAAAAACAACTCATAATGCATTAAGTACTACTATTTTATGCATTTAGTCTTAAAAACTCTTAATCTATAATTAAAATAACATATAGTGCAAGTTATCAATTCACATTATTACTTTTTTTTTCTTCATGTTCCTAAGGTATTTTTGACATCTTTCACTCATGTATTCACCCTCTCATACCTCTCCATCCCCCAAGGTGAGATTCAAACTGATATTCACTATGAGTTATTAAAAATTCTTTTATTTATCTTCCATTCAATTGCTCTAGAACTCTCGCTTTCGATCTCTTGATTCTTTGTTTTTGTTGTAAATCAAAAACATTTATGAAGTCGTTTAAATATGTTGGATTTTAAATATATGAATTTAAACTGTCATACAATTTTTTTCATCGATAGATTGTAATTGGAACCATAACTCTTATTTATTCAAATTGTATTGATATGTAAAGACCAAATGTAACTTATATCATCATTAAATTTTCTCTAATAAAATCAATGAAACATCAAAATCGTTAAAATTCATGACTCCCGCCTCATTGCACGGATACACAATTAGTATGTTATAAAAGGTGGTAAGATCAAAATGAACCATGTAGCTTAGGAAACCTTCCCATTTGCTTATGATTGATGTTACGACATCTCTAACAGATTCTTTATAATAAGCAGAAGGAATGAGGGTTTTTTTTTTATTGTTCTCTGAAATGGTGAAAACTCCAAGTTTAAGGATCTTCTTAAATCTTGATATGTGGAGAAAGAAATTGTTTTTTCGTTCATACTCATCAATGAGATTTAATTATTATTGTTTTATATAAATTCTTTTTAAAAAGTGTATCGGATGATAAATTATTAAATATTTTAATAACATAATGGATGTTAAAATCTCTAAAATAAAGAATATGTTTGAGTTAAATGTAATTCTTAAAGATTTTGATTCTTGGTTTTCTATTTTAAAGAAATTACAGAAAATATGTTTGAAAATGTTCTTATCACTAAATATCATAGGATAGGACCATGTACAGGCTTGATATGACATTTTTTCGATCGGTGACCAAACAAAGGTAAAGGCCGTTGTGGATCTTTCTAGCTATTATCTTCGGATCCTATGGAATTAGTCGAGGTATGCACAAGTTGACACGAACACGCACCCTTTAGAAAAAGGTAATTAAAATGTAACAAATTACTTTGATGTTTATAACCTTTTCATTCGGGTTCAAATCCAAACATTAGTGTAAACTTTGGATGGACGAAATCTATTTATATCGACTTAATTGGTTGGGGACAAATTTTCATTTCATTTTTCTTGGATTTCTTGATTTTCAAGTTGTTTATTATTATATTCAGTTAACTTCTAACTAATTACAACACATATCATGTCGTCGATGATTATCTAATATTTATGGAGAACATCATAACAATATAGCTTGTCGGATGAAATGCAAATTGGATTCATGGAACAGGAGAGTGAGAAACATGAATTGTATCTTTTTAAGATCTGATTTTCATGTTTTTGTAAAAAGAATACAAAGTGGAAGTTAGATTTTTGAACATATGCTCAAAATCATACATTAATAACTTGGATCCAAGTTACTGTGGTTTTAAGGTGGCTGGTGGTTCACGGATGGGGGCATGCGGATGTAAATCTGGTTATGGGTATTCCAATCTAGAGATGAATCTAGTTTCTAATCGAGGAGGGAGGGGGGGGGGGGTTGACAGTGATTCACCAAGAAACGCAGAGGGAGGTGAACGGGAGTCGTTGGAAAGAAGGGGAGGGTGTCGACGGGGTTGGTATGAGGGACAATTAAGTTTAGGGGTATTAATGTATATAATATTAATTATTTTTAATAGAAAATAAAAGAAAACTGAAAAAAGAGTAGTTAGGGTGTGTTTGGAATGTTACACGATAAAGTAAGCGATTTTGTCCGTAACCGCTTACCCAGTAAGTGTTTGCTAAACGACCATTAAAATACTCTGTTAAGAGAGAAAATTTAACAGAGTTAGGGTAAAAGACCGAGTACGTAATGAAAATGAAACCAAAGAGCATCTACAGATTGTGGTCATATAAACCTCTTTACAAATTCATCGTCACGTTAGTTTTCTTCCTTTGTCATTTAGCATTTCATAAGCATTCACTTCTAATCATGGGTTGGTTTATAAAAAAACTATAGTAATTAAAAATTAAGACAATAAAAATTACAATAATAAAAACCATAATAAATAAAAACTACGAAATAAAAGCTACACTAACATAAATTAAAAATTATAATAAATAAAAATTACAATAATAAAAGTTATAATAGTTAAAAGCTCCAATAACCAGAAATAAACTTCAATAAAATTGATAAAATTAACCAAATTTTTTTTTAATGATACATAATAGTTAAAAGCTCCAATCAGCAACCACATGATGATCTTAAACGTTTTTCTGATTCAGAAAAGGTCAGCAAAATGGATGCCTCTGATATTAATAGCAGAAATGTAGGTTCTTTCAAAAGCAGCTTGAAGGGACCAGCAAGTGTTGTTGCTTCTGTTGGTGATACAGAAAGAAGGAATTTTAACCTGTCAGGACGTACGGGTCAAGGGACAGTCTCATGTAGACAGTTTTTATAAGGTATAGGCCTCCCAAATGGAGAGATGTATTTGGGGGTGAGCTTTTCAAAGTTCACAAATTTGAGCCAAGGTACAAGTGATTCATGTTTACATTGAGATATTAATTCTGCATATGCTTTGTCATAAACAAGTGCAACCAGATGTAAGCTTTGAAGGTTTTCTTTCAGTTTGCTAACTTTTAAAACATAACGATTGCAAGATTGATAGTCAAGTCAGGTGTCCTCGTATCACGGAAAAAAACTTTAAAAGAAATTGAATGTTTCCTGATTGGTATCGAAAGGGTCTTTGACACCGGTATAACCCAATCTTACTAGAATCAAGAGTTCAAGTCTCACCAAATGTGAATAGTGGGTGTGAGATTAAGGGTCTTTGGTTTTAGTTTGTTTGCAAAATGTTAAATGTTGCAGGGTAAAAATGGGTGTTAGAGCCATAGCAAGCTAGTCATGTAGGCTTTAGTTTTGTGAGGACTGAAGAGGGTATAATGCCTATATGGTCTTACAAAGAAGCTGTTTTTGTGAACTCAAGCATCTACAAAGGTATTATATATATATATATATATATATATATATATATATATATATATATATATAATTGAAAAATGTTAATATTTTGGGATAATAGAAAAAGACTTGTCATCTTAGAAAACTTGGGCACAGCTTATCCGCAAGGACCAGTGATTCTGGGAACAAGTACCTCCTTCTTCCCCAATTCCTCCATTTTTTTGACCATCCATCATTGAAACCAAAAATGTCACTGCCTTTAATCCAATACATCCGAATTATCTCCACCACTTCACCATCTCCATCTCCATCTCCATCTCCATCTCCATCTCCATCTTCACTGAATTCAGATGCAATAACAATGGAGTTTCAGAGGCAGAGGGCTAAAGAGCTTCAGGAGTACTTTAAGCAGAAGAAGATGGAAGACGCCAATCAAGGCCCTTTTTTTGGTTTCATTGCCAAAAATGAAATCTCAAATGGCAGGTACCCTTCTTCTGGTTTTTGTTTTCATATATCATGGCACATTTTGGAACACTTACAGTTACATTTTTGATGGAGTAGATGGGCCATGTTCGGGTTTGCTGTGGGCATGTTAACAGAGTATGCAACTGGATCAGACTTTGTTCATCAACTCAAGATTCTGCTATCCAACTTCGGCATTCTAGATTTGGAATAAGCCCTTCCTTCGCTATATCTAATAGATTCTTTAAAAAGATGCTTCGATAATATGGATTATGAATGCTACTTGTTGGGTATATAATCACATATTTGAGTGTTGGATTATTCAAGAAACTTCTCATAACGCCAAATCTAGACTTAGGAAATAAATGTCAATGGTCTTACGAGGCACTAGGGATGCAAACAAAAAGAGCTTTTCATGGCTGATTGAAAGAGTGCATGCAGACAAAAAGGAATGATGTGGATGAATAAAGAAGAAAAAAACGATGCAGATAAAAAACGCTTCTCTAAACAGATGTTAATGGCACACACAGAAACAGACGTTGCAGATGCAAGGGTTTGCCTTTTCAAACAAAAGTCAGAAGTGAGCAGGGATAAAGATGCGAGAGGAAGGAGAGAGGCGAGGGCAAGACTGGAAATGTGGGCATCTGCCTGTCTTGGGTTTAGAACGAATCATAGGGGTTTAACCATGGGGTGATTATGGGTTGGGTTGATCGGGTTGAGGACATTTGAACAACCTAACTTAATGCTTGTAGTTTGAAAAAATCTTAACCCAACCCAACCCAACCAGTACGAGTTGGTCGGGTTGATACTTTGGTATATTAAAATATCATTATAACCTTGAATATGTTATTTCTCTAATCATAATTTCTTTTTCATCAACCATTTGATACAATATATTCATATTTCTTACGTATATCACATTCAGTTAATTTTCTCAATTTACATATATATGTTCACAGTTACTGAATGAGTTATATAGAGATATGAATAGATTGAAAATATGTGTATATGAAAAGCATACATGATAGTGTAATTGTCTAATGTATATATTAATATAAATTCAACAATCATACTAAATTCAAGAAATAAAAGGATATCGGTTTCATCGGGGTGGGTTGGGTTCAAATAATAGTAACCTAATATCAACTCAATACCTACGGTTTGACAATTTTATAACTCGATTAGACATCAGGTTAGGTTATTTCGCGTTGGGTTGGGTTGGATGATCGGATTAGTCGGGTTTTTGAGCACCCCTAGGTTTAACCTATTCAGAGGATTTTAAAAAATGTTCCCAAACAAGAATGCGTTATGTGAGAATCAGACATTTACCTCTTAATGACATAATTAAGAGGTAAACAAACATACACTAATTTTCTTTAGATGTTTAACGTTTATGATGTTACAAGAATGTTTAGCAATCGTTAAACAACGGATATAAATAATAGCTAAGATGAGCTACAACTTTGAATTCGGAGAGAGGAAGAAACCAAAACGTATTTGAGTTTTATATGTGTTTTCTCGCGTCAAATGAGCCATGACTTCACAATTTATCGAGTTCAATGCCCGTATGTCCCTTCTTGGCGGATTGACAATTTGGTTGCAAGTATGCTCTTAAAGACTTCGTAAATCACTCGAATTTCACAAGAAAGGTACTAGTTGTCTAAAATAGGGGTAGCAATTTTCTATTAGACCAAATTAGTCAATATATATCAACCATACCAATTAAATTGATACTAATAACAATCAGTTGATAATATATATACTATATTATAAAGCATTTGACAAAAACCCTTAAAAATCATTTTTTATGCATAAAGTATCGTACATTGATGCATATTACTTAAAATTCAAGATTACAAGTAAATTATGCATTAAGTACAACTTATTAAAGCTCCRTGTCTGAATTCATGTAACTAACTACGGATAAATATAATTAAATAGAGGATAAACATCTCATTTTAAAATATAAAAAATCTATAATATAATTAAGATAATTATCGAGTTTCTAACCGAATGTTTAATTATTATCTTTGATAAAAAATTATATTATCAAACAAAAAATAAATTACTTTGTTATTATACCTAAATTAAATTATAATAAAAAAATGAATTAAAAAAGTTACACCAAAAAAACGAAAATTATTAAATAGTTAAAACATTTGACAAATACTCTTAAAAATCATTTTTTATGCATAAAGTACTGTATATTGATGCATATTACTTAATTTCAAGATTACAAGTAAATTATGCATTAAATACAACTTATCAAAACTCCATATTTGAATTCGTATAACTAACTATGGATAAACATAATCAAATAGAGGATAAACATCTCATTTTAAAATACAAAAAATCTAAAATATAATTAGGATAATTATCGAGTTTTTAATCAAATGTTTAATTATTATCTTTAATAATAATTATATTAACCAAAAATAATTACTTTATTATTATACCTAAATTAAATTAGAATAAAAATTTGAATTAAAGAAGTTACAACAAAAAAACAAAAACTATTAAATAATTAATTTAATACTAATATCGATTTTTTTAAATTTTATACTATCTTCAAATTTATATTTCATTCAAAAATAAAAACATTATCGCCTTTTCAAAACCAATAAAATTATATTACATCGATAGAGACAAATAATAAAAATTAAACATTAAAATGGAGATTTATCTCGTTGCATTGCGCGAGTACCCTTCTAGTCATATCAAATATGCAAACTTGGTTAAAGTCGTCTACCATGGTAGTATCATGATACCAACTTATTAGTTATTTATTAGTTTTAATTGAATGTAAAATATTTTATTTTTTAATTATTTTGTTCGAATAGTTGAATGTTTTCAAGTTTTATTTCTTACACTAAAAACCTTTAAACATCACAGATGTTACCTGTAAACTCAATATTACTCAAAATTTGAACAAAATGACAAAATTTCATATATGTAACTTGAAGTTGGTATCAGGTGAAGTTGGTTAGTATACATTACAATATATGATTTTACGTATCAATCATAATTGATTGTTACGCTATATTGGAGAAACTTTTTTCGGTACCATACAAGTCCACCCCTAACCTAAACCATACGAAGTGATTAGGGGTGTAAATGATGTTAGTCGAGTTGAGTATTAAAATACTCGACTCGAACTCCATAACCGTTTCTCAAGCTCGAACTCGGCTCAAAAACTCGTGAGTAGTTAAAACTAAACTTGACTCGAACTCCATAACCATTTCTCAAGCTCGAACTCGACTCGAAAACTCGTGAGTAGTTAAAACTAAACTTGACTCGAACCCGATGGCAAATTTTTAAACTCCAACTTGTTTGAAGTTCAAACCAAGCTTGAACACCAATTCGAATCAAGCTCGGACCAAACTCACTCATTGAAGTTTACAAAAAAATTGGGGTCTTCTCTTATATATTATATAATTTAGGGAAAATTGCATTAAAATGGAACCAACTTTCACCTAATTCCTATTTTGGGAAACCAACTTTCAAAATCGTCATTTTGGGGAACCAACTTGCACATGATTCCTATTTTGGGGAACCAACTTTTAAAATCGCCATTTTAGGGAACCAACTTGCACCCGATTCTTATTTTGGAGAACCAACTTCCAAAATAATTATAGAAAAATAGCTAAAATTCGTTTTCTTTCCAAAAAATAATGCAATAAAATTTATTTTTCATTGCAAATCTCGTTTCTTTTTAATTTAGATATCAAATTGGACATTTTAAAAAAAATTCAAATTACCACAATAAAAATTGTTTTTTTTACTAATGCAAAAAAATCAATTTAATAGAAAAAAATTAATTGATACGGATTGGTTAGATATAAAAATCTTGAATGTGATATTTAATATTTATTTTTTATTGCATCAATTAATTTTTTTTTATTAAACTGATTTTTTTTGCATTAGTAAAAAATAATTTTTATTGTGGTAATTTAGATTTTTTTTCCTTAAAATGTTCAATTTAATATCTGAATTAAAAAAACGAGATTTAAAATGAAAAATAGATTTTATTGCATTATTTTTTGGAAAAAACGAATTTCAGTTATTTTTCTATAATTATTTTGCAAGTTGGTTCTCCAAAATATGAATCAGGTGCAAGTTGGTTTCCCAAAATGACGATTTTGAAAGTTGGTTCCCCAAAATAGAAATTAGGTATAAGTTGGTTCCCCAAAATGACGATTTTGAAAGTTGGTTCCCCAAAATAGGAATTAAGTGAAAGTTAGTTCCATTTTGGTGCAATTTTCTCTATAATTTAAAGACATTCTCTTAAATTTTATAAAACTAAAGAGATGCAACTCAAACTTTATCATCAAAATACAAAGTTACATGCACTTCCCTCTCTTTTATAACACATCTTCACCCTCTTTTTTTACTATTACTCTTTCAATTAGGGACAACTTCACCAATACTTCTATATTTTTTTTATCTTTTTTAACTATGATTTTAATGAAAAAAATTGATTAATTTTTATAGTTAAAAATACACAATTTCATTCAAATATCTAAAAATACAAGACATTTTTATTATATTATATTATACAAATTACATTTTAAAACTGCTTATATATAAAATAAAATAAAAAGTATCTCACGAGCTTCTCAAGTAGAGTATTGGAAGCTCGACTCAACTCGTTAATATGCCGAGCCTATTCAAGTCGAGTGTTGACCGATCTTTGACCGAGTCAATCTCGAGTAGCTCATGAGTTGTCTCGTACTATTTATACCCCTAAAAGTGACGCAGGTAACTCCAATGGCCCCCGCTTCTGTCTCTATCAAACGACATACAACCAACGAGGAGCACGAGTGGAACAAGTGCGATCAAGATAGTAACCTGCATCTCTTATCACAAAAATCTACCACGTATTATCCGTAATGTTACACTAAAATGAAAACTTACAATGAAAGAATTACAAAATTATTACACAATTATAATAAAATTATAACACAGATTTTTCAGATCATTAAAATGTCTAAAATAACATAGTTATTAGAAATGCTATAATTTTTTTTTATTAATCTAGATATCCAACCCACTATGCGAGTCAATTAATCCCAAGACGACCACCTACTTTACAGATAACCCAGAGTCACCGCATTTGAACCTCCGTGGTCATAAGAAAATTTTTATTTATCTTTGGATTTGAACCTGAGACCTCCAGGTAATTTTGACTTTTGGAGTCAAACTCAAACTAATCAGCCACCCTTTATGGTTAAATGCTATAAAATATTAACACCTCTTTTTAGATCCTCTATTTAATACATTTCCTTGTGTGCTTCTTAATTATTCGATTTTAATAAAAAAAAAATTCATACTTTGAAACAAATGAATGCTTAAATTTGTTATCATTCCAAGTTGGCCGATACGATTCCTCTTTCATTTATATTCTAACTTTTGACTTGCAATATCAATACATGTGTTTCCAATCTCTTTCTCTTTCTCTAACTTTATTTGTTTGTTTTATTATATTTAAGCAAAAAATTGATTATCGACAACTTTAATCAGTCTTATTTAGAACCTATCTTTAAGGACATTAATATGCAAAGACATTTTTTTTGCCTCACTCAGTGGTTTCATCTTCTTAGAAACAAGCTCGCTCGCTGCTTCTCCAGATGAAAGAAATATTTGTGTATAATTTACCTGCACAACCAAAGATAGATCTGAATTTTTTCTCCACTGAATACTTTTAACGACTGATTGCATAATTTGACTTAAGGAAACAAAATATGATTTCACAAAATAAGCTTTGATATATTGGTTAGTTTTTTGTTTTTCATATGTGACGTCTTGTTTTCAGGTCTTTTATTGCAAATTTTATTTATAAACATAATAAATCTGAAACTAAAAACTAAAAATTAAGAAAAATGATACAATATAAAAAACAGGTAGGCTAAATACAATTTTCTACCTACTAATTTCCTCCTCATACATGTCAATTTCAAAACTTAGGAGTCGTTTATCTACTAAGCGGTTAACAATAAGAATCAAAACTCTAACTTATTTTACCAGGTAAGATTGTAGTCCATTGAAACGATATTCCATGCAACAATTTACCTCATAAACGTATATCAAGCAAGAGTCGCCACCCTCACTTATCAAATAAAACTCTTTATTCTTATTATCCGTTTCACCGTTAAGAGTCGTCGCTCTCTCCCATTAAAAAACAAAGATGTTGAATGCACTAGATTTCAGATTCGAGTATTTTCGGTAAGATGTAGCAGGTCGCTCTTAATTTCCCACGCCCACCACTTCATTTATTACATACATATACCTCTCAACTTCATCTTCATCTTCATCTTCATCACAAATTCTCTGCAAATTTCTTCATTCCATTATATATATATCTAAATAAACAAATGAAAATGGATCAAAATGCCGCTTCCAACTACCACCAAGGCTTTGAAATCTCCGGCGACTTCCCCTCTCAGCCCCCCTCCAAATTCTTCGACGACGACGGCCGTCCCAAAAGAACCGGTAATCAAAACTCTTCATAACAACGTCAATTATGCATTCTAATTCTGAAGCTGAAACCAACCTTTAATTCAATAATTAATTTTTTCCTCGGAAAACTTAAACAGGGACTCTTTGGACTGCTAGTGCACATATTATCACGGCGGTGATAGGCTCCGGCGTGTTGGCATTGGCGTGGGCGACGGCGCAGCTGGGTTGGGTGGCCGGACCCTCTGTTCTTTTTCTCTTCTCATTCGTAACTTATTACTGTTCGTGCCTTCTTGCATCATGTTACCGCACCGGCGACCCAGTTACCGGCAAACGAAACTATACCTACATGGAAGCTGTCAAGTCCAATCTTGGTTAGTATCTAATTTAGTAATTAACTATTTACTTCTTTAAAAACTGAATATAAACTTGAGATTTCTACTTTTGCAGGTGGCTTCAAATTCAAAATCTGTGGCTTCATTCAGTACTTCAATCTTACTGGAACTACAATTGGGTACACCATTGCTGCTTCCATTAGCATGATGTGAGTGCCAAATGCCAATATATATATATATATATATATATATATTGCTTCATTGATCAGTTGATCTTTAGAAAGAAATGATAATAACCCTTTTTGTTAAATTTATGAAAAAAGGGCGATAAAAAGATCGAGTTGTTTCCACGAGAAAGGTCATGAGAATCCATGTGGAGTATCAGGGACTCCATTTATGGTATTGTTTGGTGGTGTGGAGATCCTCCTCTCTCAAATTCCAGATTTCCATCAGATTTCATGGCTGTCAATGGTGGCCGCCGTCATGTCCTTCACTTACTCCGCCATCGGTCTTGGCCTCGGGATCGCCAAATTTGCCGGTACATTTCTTACAATGCAAATTATATATATAGAGTCGGATTCAAATGAGAATGGTTAAATCATATATAATTTACACTAAACTCATATGTAAATCACATGTGAATAAGCGCTAGGTCACGGCCCAAGTGCCCAAACACACTCGTGTTGACCATGTTCCATAATCGCATATGATTTCAATAGAAAATCATATATGATTTTGACTGTTTTAGTATTGTTTTTTACCACTTGATCCTCTATATATATATACATATATATATATATATGATATATTTCAAATGCAATCATGTTCATTTGTACAATCAATGCAACCCAATTAATTGAGATATTTATAAAAATAATGAGAATTTATTTATTATGATTTAAATATTTATGGAAGATGAATAGCGTTCATTAATTATGATCAATACTTTATATTAAGAAACAATCAAAACTTATATGAAATCATATATTCTTCAAATTAAATGGATGGTTGAGATTGAGTTATACAAATGTAAAAAGTTGTATAATAACCAATCTATATCTATATATATATATATATCTATATATATATCTATATATATATATTTGTATTGATATTTATAATTTTAACAACTAGAAAATGGAAGCATCAAGGGAAGCCTAAGTGGTATTAGTGTTGGAGAAGTGAGTCAAACACAAAAAATATGGAGAAGTTTCCAAGCATTTGGAGCCATTGCTTTTGCCTACTCTTACTCCCTTGTACTTATTGAAATTCAGGTAATACAATCATTTACTTATATATTTTTTTATTCAATTTTGTACCGTAAATCTTATTTGTACATTACAGATAAGACTTACGCTACAAAATGAATCATAAAAAGTGAATCTAAACGATTAAAAACTTATTGTTGTGGTAAATGAAACAGGATACAATCAAATCACCACCCGCAGAGCACCAGACAATGAAGAGGGCTACGTTAATAAGCGTAATAACAACGACCATCTTCTACATGCTTTGTGGATGCTTCGGTTACGCAGCTTTCGGAGACCATGCCCCCGGGAACCTTCTCACCGGCTTCGGTTTCTACGACCCGTTTTGGCTCGTTGACATTGCAAATATCGCCATTGTAATCCACCTTATTGGTGCTTACCAAGTGTTTGCACAACCCTTATTCGCATTCGTTGAACAAACCGCTGAACAATACTTCCCCGAGAGCAAACTCGTCACGAAGGACATCCACGTTCCGATTCCGGGATACAAACCCTACAAACTCAACTTGTTTCGATTGATATGGAGAAGCATGTTCGTGTGCATGACCACCATCGTTGCCATGTTGATTCCGTTCTTTGAGGACGTTGTCGGGATCCTTGGAGCGTTCGGGTTCTGGCCGCTAACGGTTTATTTCCCGATCGAAATGTACATTACTCAAAAGAAGGTACCCAAATGGAGTAGTAAATGGATTTCTCTCCAGATCTTGAGTGCAGCTTGCTTGGTTATTTCGGTGTGTGCGGCGGCGGGATCGATCGCGGGAGTGATTGATGACCTCAAGGTCTATAAACCCTTCAAGACCATGTACTGATCCAAAAAGAGCTTTTATGGTTGCATGGATTTTTCAGATAAAAAGAAAGAGGAAACTAAAGATTCCAAATTTTGTTCATAAAACGACAAAGGGATTGTCGTTTTGCTTTGTAATTTTTGAATTCTTGTCATGTAGATTTTGGAATCAAATAAATACTTGTTTCACTATTTTCATATATTTATACTATATTATAAAGTATTTGATAAAAAAATTTAATTTTTTTTACATGAAATATTGTATATATATTGATGCATATTACTTAAAATTAAAGATTACAAGTAAATTATGTATAGGTACAACTTATTAAAACTCTATGTTTGAATTCGTGTAACTAACTGTGGATAAACATAATCAAATAGAGAATAAAATCTCATTTTAAAATATAAAAAATCTAAAACATAATTAGAATAATTATTGAGTTCTAACAAAATAATAATTATTATCTTTATAAGAAAATGATATTATTAAACCAAATATAAATTACTTCGTTATTGGACCTAAATTAAATTATAATTAAAAAAATTGAATTAAAGAAAAAAGAAAACTATGAAATAGTTAATTTGGTACTAATATCGATTTTTTTTTTCAAATTTATATTTCATTCAAAAATAAAAATTAAACATTAAAATCGAGATTTATCTCGCTGCATTGCGCGAATATCCTTCTCGTATAATATTAAAGAGAACAGAAAGTGTATCTGTATTTCTGTATTTGTGACATCATTATAAATTGGTCGTGTTGTATTTGATAAAAATATGGAAAACCACTAAAGAACGTCAAATGACAACTTTGGACAATTATAATTTACAAGTATTACATATTAGACCTCTTCTTACGTTTTAATTAGTATTGGAGTTGGTTTGTAAGGAAAACTATAAACACGATCAAGAATCATTTGATTCTTGAACTGTGATTGAATTTTGTCTATCCTACATTGATAGAGAAATAAAATATTAATAACAGATATTGAGTTTATAAAAGAAGGTTAAGATATCTTTATAGGATTGGTTCCTCTTGGTTCATTCTCTAAACTAGAGATGGCCAAATCGGCTCGGCCCGGCCCGGGACCGTCGGAGGACCAGGACCGGGACCGACAAAGAACCGATCGGGACCGGCACCGGTTATGGGACTGAAAACCGGGACCGGTTGAGGTTTTTGGTAGTTTCGTGGGACCGGGACCGGTTATGGGACCGATTATGGCCCGGCCCGGCCCGAAAATTCAAATAATTTTATAAATAAATGTATTTTTAAATAATTTATAATGTATTTTTATAAGAAAACGTAATTTTAATTATATTAAAACGTATTTTTAAAGTGTATTTGAGTGACCCAATTGTAAATTTTATAATGTATTACAAAATATATATCATTAAAAAAATAAAAATAAAATCTTATTTTTTAATGCAAGGACCGGTTGGGACCGGGACCGGCGGCCCATAACCGGTTATGAAGTACCTTGACCGGTCCTATCATTTTCGACCGGGACCGGTTATGAGAAAGGTTAAGACCGATTGGGACCGGTTTTTGGCCATCTCTACTCTAAACCCACATGGTTGATCGACCCTCCTAACACATGGGGTTTTCTCTGTAACGTAATAGTGATACAATGTTGACCCTCCTAACACATGTAAAAAGACTTTTTGTGTAACAGTGAGTGATATATCATCAATCGTCAATCCAATAAAAAAGGAAGCAAGGGTGACGGTGGATGTTATGAAATATATAGGATTTGAAATGAAATTGAATTTTTGATGAATGAATCAGATAAATTGAATGTTTAAGTAAAAGAGTGCTTATTTTTGGGTTCAATGATTGTGTTTTAAATTTAGTTAGTTTGGCCCATGATACTATACACTTCATTTTCATTGTTAATGGGTTTTGTATTTATATGCAAATTCCAATTTTTTGTCAACCAAACTAAAAGTTGTTATAAACGACTAATGAGGTTATAAATTCAGGGTGTTTGGTTACATGTATTAAGCAGTAACTAATGAAAAGAAACTGTTTGGTTTATATATAATATAATTGACTTATTCACCTAGCGGACATAAAATAACAACTTTATGTCAGTTTTTGCAGGTTCGATAATTTTCCCGTACCATCCCCCTGTAAATGTACCGACCTTGGGTACAGATTAACATATCAAAAAACCTTTTACCTTATAAAAATATATATACGAAATCACAAGATATGTAAAAACATTGTGTTTATTCAAGATGCAATGTAAATAGATAAATAAAGCAGATCATAATGATATTTTATACAATTTTCAGTAAAACTACAGATTATTAATAAAAGAGCGTGTTTTCTTTTAATGTTTTTGAAACGAAACTTTAAAATGCATCATGTCCCTTCTTAAGTTTTGATCCTTGATAAATGCATAATTGAACTCGTTTTCACATTAAACCCCTTGCATTTCATCATGATTTAATTGCTAATAAATCCCCGTTTATCTTAGTTTTTATCGATCATCGATAGTTGTCAAAAAGATGGATATTAGTACAAAACAGAGCATATATTTTGAAGAATTATAACATGGGCATATTTTTCAAATAGAACACGGGCTAAGCATGCAAAATCAAAATGACGCTAAAAAAACCATTATGTTTTCAATTGAGGTCTTGTTTGGTAGGTGAGAGATGCAAAAGAGCAGGAAGCATGATGCAATTGTAGCCTAAAAAAGAAAAAAGAAAAAAGAAAATCCAAGTCCAAACTTGACGTAATTCAGGCCCCATTCGATTTTCAAGATGGGTTCCGTTCAAACCAAAACCCACCTTAGACATTGCGTTCGGGACCAAAACCATTCTGGCGAGTTTTCTGGCGGGTGTAGCTAAGATCCAAGTCATCAAATCGTGCATTTCTTCCTTTTCATCGGTTTCTTCTCGTATGTATAACATAATCCACATCTTTTTTTTTTATTAACCTGGATATCCAACCCGCTATGCGAGCCGACTAATCTCAGGACGACCACCTGCTTTGCACGTAGCCCGGAGTCACCGCATTTGAACCTCCGTGGCCACAAAGAGATTTTTGTAAGTTTAATTTGTGTTTCGAAATAATGATATGAGTAGCTAATTCTCTGTTTCCAGTGATGAGATTATAACTAGTTTACTTTGGATCTTGTTGAGACTTTGATTTATATCTGAATATCAATTGAATTTCATTCATGTAATCCTTGTTCAAATGTGTTCTTCATTTTCGGGTTTTCTTGTTTTGAGAAGGATCCCTTGAATCATTTGATTTGCTAGTCGTGATTAAGAATATGTAATTGTTCCTAATTTCAGTTAAGTAGCAAGTACTCCATCAATCGACCACCAAATCAATTGATTTGCATTATAGGATTGTGTAATCTAACTTAAATGGTATGATGTCCGATCATTAGTTAGGATTGGTTCTTGTTAACTATTTAATGCAATTGGTAGGTTAAGTTCTACATTCGTGACTAGACTTAACTTAATCAGTTAGGAATTAGTTCACTGAGCTCCTCGTGCTAGTTTATTTTTAAGGGCAAACGGGTGTTTGGCAGATATCGAAACTCACGGCCGATCTGGAATCGATTGAGAAAATATTTTATGTATAAGTCAATGATACATAGTTTCATAAAGAACTGGTTATACTCGTCACCATGATTCGTTCTCTATTGTATAAAGTCTAATTTATTTTTATGCTTAGATTAATCAACTTCCAACCCCCTTTTTTTTGCTTTACGCACTTGTACATGACACTTCTTGGAGTTTATGGTTGACACCGCATTCCTAAGAACAGAACCCTACTCATTGTTGTCACAGGTTGTATTTTAGAGGTAATCAGCATAATTTATAAATTTCTTATTTGCCAGACTCGACACCTGCCAATCCTTCACCTTGTATTGTGCATTTGGTACACTGGACAGATAGAATAAAACAAAACATATAAGGATCATTGTTCCACGTTTGGGATTACTTTTATGTGGAAAAAAGTGGAACAAACATGTGCAATCCCCACCCCATGAAACAAGGTGGAGAGCCTATATTTTATCATTTCCCTCCCTCTTTACATTTCATTTATTTTTCAAATTTTATTCTTTTTAATTTCTTACTTTATTGTTTTCGAAATATTATTTTTATCTGTTTTCTATAATTTAGTTAATTTATATAGTTTGTTAAATATTAACAAAAAGTAATATAGAAAATGTATAAAATATAAAATTAAAATTAATAAACTTCATATCTTGGTGTTATTTTAATCGTATTCACAAAAACTTTCCAATAATATATTTCGTTACGAAGATATTTATTTTATTGTAATTTAAAGAAATTATTCAAAATATAGAATATTTATATACAACAATCTAGGAGTAGATTCGTCATTTTATCACTCATGTCATGTCTTATGCTAAACAGTTGTTCTATCATGTGTTGTCTTGTTCAGTTCTATCTTGATATTAAACACACTCTTAAAATTAGAATTTTTAATTAAATAATGTTATTTATGTACTTTTCGAAAAGAAAATGATTTTTTCAAGTTTGACTATTTTTCTTATCTAGAAACATAATTTTGTAGTCGTTTTTGGAAATATTTTGTACCTTATTTTTTACAAAAATTAAAATGAAAAACCGAAATTTAGAAGCTCTAAGAAAATATTATATCCAACGTTTCAATTCTAACAACTTTTTTATTTTAAAAATTATAATATTAATTATATATTATTGAAATATTCCATACATTTAATAAAATATTATTTATCTCTTATAAATATTTAATTTCGAAGTTTCTTATTAATAAAATATAATAAAAAAATATTTCTCTATCATTATAACCAGTTTTGAAAAGTTCTTTAAATTTGAAGAATCGTACTCGTTATCTCATATTAGATAAAGGTTTAAAAAATATGTTGGACCAAAATCTTGATTTTCTGGTTTTAAATAATATGTTAAAACAACCACAAGGGTGGTGTTCGTTTGATTTGAGCTTAGGATCCAAAGGTCAAAAATGTATGGAGGTCACAAGTTCTAATTCAA